CCAGTCAGTGTGTCTGGACTGTATTAACCCCTCTCTCTCAGTGCAGTGTTAATGTACTTTAGTACCTGTCTCTCTTTCTCAGGTGTGAGATCTGTGGCTTCACCTGTCGGCAGAAGGCCTCTCTAAACTGGCACATGAAGAAGCACGATGCTGACACCTTCTATCAGTTCTCCTGCAACATCTGTGGCAAGAAGTTTGAGAAGAAGGACAGTGTGGTCGCCCACAAGGCCAAGAGCCACCCCGAGGTGCTGATCGCGGAGGCCCTGGCCGCCAACGCCGGCGCACTCATCACCAGCTCCGACATCCTGGACACGGCCTCCCCCACTGCCATCGCGGCCGCGCCCCCCCAGCCCACCGAGCAGGGTGTGAGCGGGGAGGCCGGCCTGGTGGGCCTGGGAGGGGTGCTGCTGGCCCCCCAGCCTCCTCCCACCGGCGCCCCCGATGCCCTGGACCGGGGCGCGTGCCCGGAGCCGCACCGTGACTCTCTGGGGCTGGTCATCAGCTCCGAGACGGTAGCCGAGGTCCTGATCGACAGCTCAGAGCCACACACCCTACTGCAGTAGAGGGGGCGGGGCAGGGGTGGGACAGGTCTTTGGCGAGAGAGACAATTGGCCAACTCATGGCCCCGCCCCTTCTCCCTTTGCCCTGAAGAGGATGATGGGATGCCGTGTATATATTTGTCCTTGCCGTGACTTCAGGACCTGCACAGCAGCTGTTTGTGTGGACTCCCCGGGCGCAGGGCTTGTGTGTGTGTGTACAGCTGTGTTCAGAGCAGCTTCGCCGGACTCTCCTTCCTGCCCCTCACTAGGCTGAGCGACTCTGCAGACAACTTCCATGAACCAACCAACACCGGAGTCCCATGAAGGCGTTCCTGCTCCGTGATCTGGGGTGGACAGGGCATGTTGGAGAGGGGGCTTTGTGCTGGGGGGAGGGGATACCCTGTCCAATGAGGGTCCCCCCCAACACACACACTGACCAGGGAGGCTGGAGTGCTGTATTTGTACACTGCAGGCCAAAAGTGTGCCCCCCATTGCGATCTAATCGCAGTTTGAAGGTTTTTGAGACGGTACTTAAAACTGTTGGTTCAATTAGAGTTCTAGAGAACTCACTTTTATTTTGAAATTGAATGTCTGGCCTTTTCTTTCATCTGAAGCTCATCCTCTGCCTCTGTGTCTTCTGGGCTGTTTGAGTAAGAAGGGCAGCTGGGCCTCCTGGTGCAGGAGCTGATTTCAGACTTTTCTAGCCTGTTCAGGCTCAGGGAATACAGCCTGCAGGTTCTGGAAGGACACTGTCCACCATGATCCCCCCTACAGTGGCTGGGAGGACACTCTGTCCACCCCAGTATCCCCCCTGCGGTGTCTGGAAGGACACTCTGTCCACCCTGATCCCCCCCCACAGTGGCTGGGAGGACACTATCTATCCCAGCCCCCTGCAGTAGATCCAGTTAAGAAATCTGCTTTTCTTATTAACCTGTTGTTTTTCTACATTTACAGCATAAGGACTTTTGGCCTGTATTGTATTTTAGTTCTTCTCTCCTCAAATGACCCTGGAAGAATGTGGTTTAAGGTTTTTTAAACTTTCTTTTTCTGTTTGCTCCTGCTGTGAAGAGGACCCGAATCGATTGCCTGGTCTGGAGAGCTGGTGTCCTGTAGCCCGGTAGCCCAGTACACAGAGGGGTCAGGCTGTGTGCTGGTCTGTACATAATTGCTTTTATTTGATTTAAATTGGCTCAGTTCCTCCCCGAGACCCCAGAACATTACTCCACTCATGTTTATTATCCAGATAGTTGATTAAACTACTGTGTAACAGAGGCAAATCCTTTTCCTTTTAATAGAAACTGCTGCTTCAGAAGGTCTCTGTATTTTATTTTGTGTGTGAGAGAGAGAGAGAGAGAGGGGCCAGGGCTTCCTGTCCACAGTGTGTACCCCAGGGGCGTGGTCTGGGCTTCCTGTTCACTGTGTACCCCAGGGGGGTGGGCCAAGCTGCCTGGTCACTCCACTGTGTGTACCCCAGGGGTATGGACATTGCTCCCTGGTCACCCCTGTGTGGATCCTAGGGGTGTGGTCTGGGCTTCCTGGTCACGGTGTACCCCAGGGGTGTGGACAGTGCTCCTTGGTCACTCCACTGTGTGTACCCCAGGGGTGCAGAGTTCATTTCTGGGAAGGGTTGTCAACAGTACATAGAAAACGCTTGGTGAGCTACATTTTCCGGGTGCCAAACCAACCCCTTGATCTGAACCGAGCTTCACCAGGTCTTCATGGTAAAGTCGCTGAGCTTCCTACCACAGTCATTTAGCTCTGGTACAGCTGCAGCTTTCAAGTGACCGGAGAAAAAAATGCACAGAATCTGCAGCCTCTGTGCTGGAGCCAAGACAGCGGTTTGCATTGGGGTCAGAGGTCATGATTAGAGTTGGACGAAGCAGGGGTTAGGAGTCAGGGGCTAGGGTTTGACCGAGGTGTGGGTCAGGGGTGAGGGGTCAAAAGTAAGGTTTGATGAGGCACTAGTTAGGGGTCAGGTTTAGGGGTAGATGAGGTACGGGGCAGGAGGTTGAGCATTAAAGCTGTTTTCTTTACTGCTACTGAGAAGGGATGTGGCCATTTTAAAAGCCAGGATTTTTGTAAAACCAGATTTATTAGCCTCACAGGCGCAGGGGGCCCAGGGTATGACTCCAGCTGAAGACGTCTGTCTGGGTGGAGTCCACCTGATCACTTCTTGCCTCCTCCAGCGTGAGGGCCAAGGGGGGGTTGTCCGTTTCTCTGGGTTTAAACAGGCCAGGGTTCAAGACCAGGACCCACTATGTTAAGAAGAGATGGACAACCCTGGTCCAGGATAGCCTCAGGTCTGTACTTCCTGCTTCTGTAACCTGGTGGGTTGGTTTAAACTGCTGGAGAGAGCCCCAGGAGCAGCAGGGGTCTCTGTGCAGTTTCAGAGCACAAGAGGCCTGTTCACCTTGACATTTCCGGACATCCAATTGCTACAAGAACCGTTTTCCAAAAGCAGCTTACATGGGGTTGGACCGCAGGTTAGAAAGGAGTCCTGTGCCTTAAATGTGTGACGTACTGTAGTTCAGACCGGCCACATTACTAGCAACACAAAAATCTGAATTGGCCTGCGCAAGCACAAAAATAAAAACAAATGCGGTAGAAGGCAAATCAAAATAACTTTTAATGTTAACATTGCTAGAGTTGCTTGAAACCAGTGAGTGCTTCCCAGAAGCCACAGACAGGAAGTCCCCTTTCTCACCGAAGCCCCCCTGAAAAACACGGGTGTCCCTACAGTACAGACAGGTTCACCGGGATCAAGGGGCGAGGAGTAAAAACATGTCCGCAAGCTGGGTCACAGGAATGGTGACTGGAAACCGGACCGTGCGGGCGAGGGCTGGACAAGAACACGAGACGGGACACAAGGGAGTCCAATACCCCGGCCTCTTTCACGACACAACAGGGGGGGATCCTTGCATCAACCTGTTACCGACAACCAGGGGCTCGATGGCCTCTTGTTTGCAAAAGCTCTGCAGTTGTAAGTTTAAGAAATCCTCACGAAGGCTTCAAAAAAACACTGCTGCACAAAAAAGTCCATCCTGCTGTCCATCCTGTGTGCGCAAGCCCTGGCGGACAGGACTGACAGGAGCCACCAGACAGACGTCCACCCGCGGAGACGCACACTGTCCTCGGGGCCCGAGGCTGTGCTCCTGCAGCTCTCCCCCGAGCAGAACCGGGCCGTGCCGGAGCTCGGCTACAGCAGCCAGGGCCTGTCCTTGGCCACGCTGGCCTCGTAGTCCCTCAGCGCCCGTTTAGGGGGGATCAGGGTGTCGCTGACCCCGGGCTTCCGTCTGCCAGTCCGGCCGGG